CACTCCCCATTTCCCTCCAACTCCCATATCTAGGCAATTATCAATTTACTTTCTGCTTTGATGGATTTGCCTAATATGGACATTTCATATAATATGTTGTCTTTTGTGTCTGGCTTCTTTCACTTGATGTACTGTTTTCAGGGTGCATCCATGTTGTAACGTATCAATACTTCCGTTTTTTTATTGTCTAATAATATTCCATTCTATGAATGTACCTTGTTTTGTTTGTCCCTTTATCAGTTGAGTGACCTTGAAGCTGTTTCCACTTTTTGACTATTATGGATAATGCTGCTATGAACATTTGTGTACAAGTTTTGTGTAGATATATGTCTTCATTTCTCTTGTGTTTATACCTAGGATTGGAATTTGGGGGTTATATGGCAACTTTATGTTTTGCATTTTGAAGAACTGCCAATCAGTTTTCCAAAGTAGCTGCATCATTTTACATTCCCACCAACAACGTATGTGTTCTCATTTCTTCACATCTTCACCAACACTTATTGTCTTTTTATTTTAGCCATTCCAGTGGGTGTGAAGTGGTATATCATTGTGATTTGAATTAATGACTAATGATCTTGAGCATAGCTTCAGCTGTTTATTTGCCATTTGTATATCTTTTATCACTATTTGTGCATTCTTAAAAGTTGGGTTATTTTTCACTGAGTTGTAACAGTTGTTTATATATTCTAGACACAATTCAGATATATGACTTGCAAATATCTTCTCCATTTCTCTGGGTTGTCTTTTTACTTTGTTGATAGCTTTTGAAGCTTATAAGTTTTTAATTTTGATGAGGTCCAATTTATTAAATTTTACCTTTGTTACTCATGTTTTTGATGTCACAACAAAAAATTCATTGCCAAATCCAGAGTTATCCCTATGTTTTCTTCTAAGAATTTTTTAGTTTTAAGTCTAAAAATTAGCGCTATTAATCCACTTGAGTTAATATTCATTTATGATTTGAGGTAAGGGTCCAATTTCATTCTTTTGATGTCCTAGCACAATTTAGTGAAAAAAACTATTCTTTTCCCATTGAATGTTCTTTTCACCCTTGTCAAAATTAATTAACAATAATGATGGGCTTTTTTCTGGACTCTTCCATTCCACTAATCTATACATCTAATGCCAGTACCACACTGTTGGTTACTGTTGCTTTGTGTAAGTTTTGAACTCAGAAAGTGTGAGTCCTTCAACTTTGTTCTTCAAGATTGTTTGGGATATTTGAGGTCCCTTGAAATTCCATATGAATTTTGAGATCAACTTGTCAATTTCTACAAAGAAGCCAGCCAAGATTCTGACAGATGTTGTTAAATCTGTAGATCTATTTGAAGTGTTGCCATCCTAACAATGTTAGTTTTCTGGTCCATGAATATGGGGTGTCTTTCCATTAATTTAGGTATTCTTTAATTTTCTTGGAGAATGTTTTGTAGTTCTCAGTGTGCAAGTCTTATAGTTCTTTTGTTAAATTCACTCCTCCTAGGTTTAAATTTATTCCTGCTTATAATGGTGGTGTTTTCTTAATTCCAGTTTCAGATTGTTCATTGCCAGTGTGTGGACATACAATGGACTTTTCTGTATTGATCCTGAAATCTGTCTCATTGCTGAAGTTGTTTATTAATTATAATATTACAGGACTTTTGACAGAACATACTAAAGTGATTCTGAATTTCATGTGGAAGGGATAGCTAGCTGAGAGTAAGGCAGCTTCCTAAATCCATGTCTCCAGTAGCCCCCCAAACAACTCAAAGCCATGAGAAAATAAATGAACCTAAAGAAATACTATGCCCTCATGTAACTAGCAAAAATTTAATGCTTTTTGGATACTAAATACTAAAATTAGTACAGTTTTTATAAATCACTGTGACAAAATAGAAATCCCAGGAAAAAAAAATATTTTATTGTTTATAAAAGTGCAAAGGCAATTCAGTGGGGGGAAGGATTTTTTTTTGGTTATTTATTTATTTGGATATTTATTCCATTATTAGATTTTTTTTTAGTTATCCCTATAGAAAAAATAAATACATCAGCCTTTTATCTCTCAACAAACACAAAGATTAACTCAAAATGGATTGCAGAGCTAAACACTAAATCTAAAACTATAAAATGTCTAGACAAAGACATTAGAAAAATCTTTGCTACTTTAGCTTAAGCAATGGTTCCTTAGATGGACACAAAAAGCAACAATCATAAAAGAAAAACATTTAGAAATCAAGCTCCATAAAAATTAAACATTCTTGCTCTTTGAATAAAGTCACTAAGGAAATAAAAATTTTTCACAATTCATACATTGTGAAAAAATATCCACAATTAATTTTTTCAACAGAGAGTTTTGCGAGAATATATAGAGAATTCTTCCAAATACAAAATAAGACATCAAGTAACCCAATTAAAAATGGACAAGCATTTTGATCATATGCTTCACAGAAAAAGATACACAAATGGTCAATAAGCACATAAAAATTTTCCCAATATCATTAGTCAACTGGGAAATGCAACTTAAAACAACAAACAGATGCTGATGCCATCACACACCAACTAAAATGGCTAAAATGAAGTCCCCTACTATGAATGTGTTACTGTCGATTTCCCCTTTTATGGCTGCTAGTTTTTGCCTTATGTATTGAGGCGCTCCTATGTTGGGTGCATAAATATTTACAATTGTTATCTCTTCTTCTTGGATCGATCCCTTAATCATTATGTAGTGTCCTTCTTTGTCTCTTCTGATAGTCCTTATTTTAAAGTCTATTTTGTCTGATATGAGAATTGCTACTCCAGCTTTCTTTTGGTTTCCATTTGCATGGAATATCTTTTTCCATCCCCTTACTTTCAGTCTGTATGTGTCTCTAGGTCTGAAGTGGGTCTCTTGTAGACAGCATATATATGGGTCTTGTTTTTGTATCCATTCAGCCAATCTGTGTCTTTTGGTGGGAGCATTTAGTCCATTTACATTTAAGGTAATTATCGATATGTATGTTCCTATTCCCATTTTCTAAATTGTTTTGGGTTCGTTATTATAGGACTTTTCCTTCTCTTGTGTTTTTGTCTAGAGAAGTTCCTTTAGCATTTGTTGTAAAGCTGGTTTGGTGGTGCTGAACTCTCTCAGCTTTTGCTTGTCTGTAAAGGTTTTAATTTCTCCATCAAATCTGAATGAGATCCTTGCTGGGTAGAGTAATCTTGGTTGCAGGTTTTTCTCCTTCATCACTTTCAGTATGTCCTGCCACTCCCTTCTGGCTTGTAGAGTTTCTGCTGAGAGATCAGCTGTTAACCTTATGGGGATTCCCTTGTGTGTTATTTGTTGTTTTTCCCTTGCTGCTTTTAATATGCTTTCTTTGTATTTAGTTTTTGACAGTTTGATTAATATGTGTCTTGGCGTATTTCTCCTTGAATTTATCCTGTATGGGACTCTCTGTGCTTCCTGGACTTGATTAACGATTTCCTTTCCCATATTAGGGAAGTTTTCAACTATAATCTCTTCAAATATTTTCTCAGTCCCTTTCTTTTTCTCTTCTTCTTCTGGAACCCCTATAATTCGAATGTTGGTGCGTTTAATGTTGTCCCAGAGGTCTCTGAGACTGTCCTCAGTTCTTTTCATTCTTTTGAAAAAAAAATGTTATGAAGAACCTAGGGGTAAAACAGGAATAAAGACAGAGACCTACTGGAGAACAGACTTGAGGATATGGGGAGGGGGAAGGGTGAGGTGTGATAGGGCGAGAGAGAGACATGGACATATATATACTAACAAACGTAAGGTAGATAGCCAGTGGGAAGCAGCCGCATGGCACAGGGAAACCGGCTCGGTTCTTTGTGGCTGTCTGGAGGGGTGGGGTAGGAAGGGTGGGAGGGAGGGAGACAAAGAGGGAGGAGATATGGGAACATATGTATATGTATAACTGATTCACTCTGTTATAAAGCAGAAACTAACACACCATTGTAAAGCAATTATACCCCAATAAAGATGTTAAAAAAATAAAATAAAATGGCTAAAATGAAAAAGACTGACAATACTATTGGTGAGAATGCAAAGTAATAACTCAGAACTTTCACTCCAGGTATTTACCAAAGAAGAAAGGACATGTCCTTTCCACAGAAAGGCTTCTGCACAAATATCCATAGTAGATTCACTCATAGTAGCCAAAAGCCTGGAAACAACCCAGATGTCCATCAACAGTTGAATGAATAGGTGAAATGTGGTCTATCCTTAGAATGGAATACTACTCACAAATAAAAAGGATTAACTACTGACACATACAGTGTGAATGAATGAATATGAATGAATCTCCAGAACATTCTGTTAAGTGTAATATGCTGGATGTAAAAATGTACCTACCGTTTGATTGTATCTATATGAAATGAAAGAAAAGATTAATTTAATCTATAGTAATAGAAGGCAGTACAGAGGGTGTTTGGGGGTGGGCAAAGGAACTGGGTGGACTGGGAGGGGGCACAGAAGAACTTCCTTGGTTGGATAGAAATGTTTTATATCTGATTGCGATGGTGGTTATGTCGATGCATATATTTGTCAAAACCCATCCAACTATACCCCAAATGGGCGGGTTTTCATATAAATTATACCTTGTAGTTTTGATTTAAGCATTTGTTACATTCTTCACCTCAAGTTCTGATGACTAGCTACTGGAAGTGATGACAAGTGTTACTACTCCAGTACTGACTGTTAACTTTATCAGCCCTACCAGTGACAGATTTCCAGCATAGGGAAATCTAGACATCCCAAGATAGCTGGACAATAATGTAAATGAGAGGAAGAGGGGTTTTCAGATCTCGTCAAGTCAGTGGAACATTTAGGCTCCACAATGTCACCCTGGAGTGACATTCTGTTACATGACCATATCAAATTTAACAAGACCAGATATCTTTCTTTTACTTTCATCATCAATTCATAATTAATCAAAATATGGCTATTAATAATTCATGATAATAATATGAAGAACATTTTCTCCATGTCTTGTTTCTTACATTTTATATTCTTATTCTTTCAACAGTTCCAGGAATCCCTCAGAATATGAGTTGTTCTAACTTCAGTGCACATAAAGGATGGGTTACCTGGGAACCACCGGAAAATATTTTTCATACGTTCACTCTTTGTTATTGGAATCTTTCAGGTAACTTTTATAGAATTTAATTCCATAGCAGGAAAGATAAATCCAAAATTGGAAAGCACTCCACATATGGATGGAGCTAGTGAGCCACGGAGCTCTCTACACTACAACCGTGACGAGCACCCTGTACGCCTTGGTTTTAGAACTACCTCCACTCACTACAGGCTCCCCAGCCTCTGAAATGACTAAATCTCAGAGTATCCCCAATACTCATTTCTCGTTCTTGATCTTCTTAGTTCTAATCATTACACTCCAAAGCTTAGAGAAAGAAAATCTCTGGAAGATAATACTCATATCTGTCTTCCAAAAATTATGTAAGGGAGCTGCACTAGTTTGAACTCATCATTCTGGACTACAAACAACAACTTACAAAACGTGCCCCAGCTGATATACACAAAAAATTGGGTGAACAAAAATGAACATATGCCCACTTAGCTACAGAGTTTGATGGCAGGTGGAGTCTTGGAACATAGTTCTAGTTAGCATTAACTAACTTCTGCAGAACTTGTGCAGAGATAAAGACAGCCCAAAAAATGTGCTATGACTAGTTCAACCATTGGCCTAGTCCCTCCAAATGAGACATCATTTAAGAGACCAGACATCTCCTGGATGATGTGAAGTATCTAAAATACTTGTAGAAAACAGTGGGGACCGTGGACCACCTCAGAACAGACTCAGCACATGGAATAGCCCACTTGTCAATCCTTTACCTGTAGCTTAAAGTAGTATTGAGTTGGACATCTCACAGAATTCCATCTCCTTGTTTGGCGCGTAGGAACCAGACATAAAATTTCAAATTTCGAAAAGTAGAAAGCCACTTATCTCCAGTGTGTTATTTTATATTTTGATAGCATATTGTTTTTGCTTGTTGTTTGAATCTTGATAATCAAACTACTACAGCAAAGTTCAATACACATGTAGTTTTCAAATTAGCATAAGAGGACTCAAATTCTATGGAGAAGAAATACAGGTATTTGAGGTTATGGTAATTGGAAATGTTATGTCTATGAGAAAGGAAAAATGGAACTTACAGGAAGATGAAAAATGGAAATTACAGGAAGACAATCTGTAATCTGACATATTACAGGAGTACAGTCTGCCTCACTGGACACGTCTCCTACAAACTTTCTTTGCTTGGTTTCTGTGTGAGCACATTGTTTTGTTTTCTCTTCTCTTTTCTGAAATTTCTTCTCACTATCCCTTTCTGTATTCCTTACTTTCTATATTCTCTCTCTACTATGGAGTATTTTGTATGCCAGAATATATGGTGGAAATTTATGGAGCAATATTTATTGCTTCTTTGTATTCTATACTATTTAAAAAAAGCTGTATTTGAATATTTAGGCTTAGAAGGACATAATGTGTTAGTTATTGCAGTCAGATGAGTTTTTGTTTGATTTTTGCAATGAGTACAGATCCTTCTTATTCAGTGCTACCCAAATTTATGACTCTCCAAATATAACACTTGAACAGAATGGGTGGGGAGGGAAGGGGCAGGTAGGCAACATTTAGCTCTGTGTGTCCTCTCCAAAAGCTGGTTGGTAACTAACTGAACCCAGTCTCCACTGTGGCTCATGCACTGACTCTGCTCAAAGGGCCCTTTGGAAACAGCTCATCCCCAGTCCTCTGTCTCTCGTTGCTGTCACAGTCCACTGCTGGGAAGAGAAGCGTGCTCTGTCTTGTCTTCTGGTTCATCAGGAGCACAGGACATGAGATCCTCTTCTGTATTATCTAAGTCAAAGAGAGATGATCGGAGTATAGCATTGTTAGAACAATTCTTTTAACTACTCTCATTATTTCAAATAAAACCACTATTAAAAATCCACGGGAAGAAAGTCAGTGAACTCCTATAGCAATTTATATTACTTTTAATTAGGTATTAAATTCCTTTTGTTACTTCCTCATTTAATCATCGCAGCGACTCTGAAAGCTGTAGACCAAAAGAGGTAGAAAAATGTACCTGACATTTATTTAGTTTTCTCTGCTTGTGGGGTGTTTTTATAGCTTTTTAAGATTTTTTTTTTTTTTTTTTTTTTAAATATACGGGCCTCTCACTGTTGTGGCATCTCCCGTTGCGGAGCACAGTCTCCGGACGCGCAGGCTCAGCGGCCATGGCCCACGGGCCCAGCCGCTCCGCGGCACGTGGGATCCTCCCGGACTGGGGCACGAACCCGCGTCCCCTGCATCGGCAGGCGGACTCCCAACCACTGCGCCACCAGGGAAGCCCAAGCTTTTTAAGATTTTGTTAAACGTTTCAACAATGACTCTGAGAGGAGAGATACATGGATACGTTCAGAGTTCATACGATTCCCTGAGGATCACAGAACTTAAAATCAATGCTCAAATTCAACAGCTTGGACTGTGCTTTTCTCGCTACTGTAAGTTCATGTTTGAGCATGAGACACCTTGTGCATCTGCAGTATTATGTATTAACTTAAAGTGCCAAGTGACAATGAAGTTTCCTCGGTAACAGGGAAGAGACCCTGAGTCATTGTTGCATTCAAAGGACTATTTCTCAAAAGTTATTGAAACCAGTGTGCACCCTTCCACATCACAGCGTTGTTATTGGAAATGATTTTGTTTATTGTCTTTTTGCTTAAACAACATAAGAGAAAAATTGTCTCTTATTTTGGGAGGTAGCAGTGCAAGACCCTTTGGGGATCAACAGGTTTATACTACTTTGCATGGTGTTCAGGAAGATACTTTAGAGCAGTTTAAACTGGGAAGTTGTTAATGGATTTCCTGAGGTATTTGCTAAAAAGCAAAGAGGTGACAAGTGACGAAGCCAGTATCTATCTAGCCGTTTCCAGTGCAACAGGCATGACTTGAAACTAGATGTATCCCTGTCGCCCTGAGGAAAACTAAATTTCACCACTAAGTCTAATAAAGTCTTTACCTGTGCCATTAGACTAGTGCTTCTGACCTCAGGGTCCTGAGGAAAGGTATCCCACATGGAGGCAGAGAGGCTCATGTAAAATATGTTGACCTTTCAACCAAAGCTTGAAACCCTTGGCAACTGGAAATGAACATTCCAAACCGTCTTTCTAAGCACTGAACACTTTGATTCCCCAAACAGCAATGTCTTTTGGAAAAAAAATGTGTTGTTCAAAATTAAATCAGCAATTTGATTTTATCAAGCTGGCTGAGATGAAAGCATCACAGAACAACATAAATGAAACTTATTTTGATGCAGAATGGTTGTGAGATTACATCTACAATCATACAAAATTAGGTCACTGAATGGAAGCCAGATGGACCTTGAGAACGACATCCTGACATTTGGATTGTAGCTGAGTTAGAAGCTGATACTTGTCCCGACAGCCAGACACCATATAAGGAGTTATGGGCCAGGGGGTGCCACCTGCCCGTCTCTAGAACTCACACTTTTCCTGTCCTCAAAGACAATTCTCACTCGGGACAGAGTGGCTGAGCTGGCGGGTATAAATCAACTAACTCAGCTTTAGGGATTTCTGAGAAAATAGACACTTAACCAGGCTAGAACAGACACTTTATCTCACTGTTTAGCATCCCATGGTGAGGTAGAGATATTACTATAATCTCCATGTCATGGATAAGTAACTGAGACAAGAAATTAGCATGTGCTAAATCTTCCCTTACACTGTTTCTGCAAGTCCATTGGCGTGTCCACCTAGACCAGAGAATTAAAATGTCAAAGAGGAGGAAAAAGCTTGGCCCCTTTGCAGACCCTTGTCCCCCTCTTCTACCCCAGACAATATGCACGGCAGTGAAGGGTAAAGCATGGCCTCTGGGACCTCAGTGTCCGGGTTTCATCCTGACTCTGTTGTTCCTTTCCTGTGAGATCATGGACAGAATGCTAATGTCTCTGTGGCTCAGTTTTCTCATCTGTAAAATCGGATGACATCAAGAGTGCCAACCTATAGGGTTGTGGTGATGGTGAATTAATTCACATAGACCACTTCAAGACATGCTTGGAACACAGCATCGTCTGTTCATTGTTTTTATAACTACTGGTATTATTATTATTATCACTGTAACATGCTTCCTCTCTAACCTTCTTTTAACCTGTCTTTCTTGGTGGCACTTGGCTACTCAAAAATAGTCAGTGGCTAGTGATTTTTCAACTTAACAAGTGCTAACTCATCTGTGTAAGCAAGGTCCCACCTCCCATGTTCCTACCCAGCCAGAGTCAGGCTCGTGCCTAAACTAAAAATGCTCCTTCTTTCCTTTGTAAAATTTTATTTCCTCCCTTACACCTACCCAGCCTCACTCATCTTTCAATGATCAGCTCAGGTTCTACTGCCAGCTTGAAGCTTTCCTTCACTGTTTCAGCTCCCATGAATTACTGTAGTGCTCAGATGAATAGGGCAGAGGATACTTAGTTACTGGTGATCAAATGGATTTTGTATCTGAAGTCTATAACAGTGGCTCATACCAAAGTCCAAAGTTTGGAGGTTAAGTATCAGAAAAGGGGTTGCCAAAGTACTGGAAAAAAGACTTTCATAATATCCACCATGAGCTGTGTTTTCTCAGAAAGAAAAGAGATCATAGGTAAACAATATGCTTGAACTTATTAAATATGTTATGTACCAAATTAATTATATGAAACCATCATTTTTGAATATTTGAGTTTATAGTAATCACAGTTGTTCAATGCATTTGCTGATAATTATATGTATTTCTGAGCACCAAGGATTTTTCATTTCTCAATCACTCAGTTTGGAGTCGGCTTGGAATGATTTACTGTAGACACTAAATTAAATATGAGCTAATCCTAAATTTTGATGACTTACTAAAAGTTTCCATTTTTACCCCTGAGAAGAAAGATGCCACACTCTGAATAAAACCACAAATACAATTAATTTGGAATATTTGAAACCTTTTACAAAGTATAAGATAACATTACATGCCTCTGTCAATGGAAGAGTGGAACGTAATGGAACTGATGTGAAATGTGAAGCTAAAACAAAAGCAACACGTAAGTTATAAGCTTTAATGCTTTTTTCTATGAACAGCAAAGTCTAAACCGTTAAAACAACATGTCCACCTTTATGCTTCATTTGAGAAACACACTGACCTGGCACATTTGTTAACATCTAGGGTTTATAATAATTTAAAACACAGCAATTTAAAAACTCTCATCCTGGGTTTTCTCTGTATCCTTCAGGTATAATCATAGAATTGTAAGAATGAAGCCTGAGGGCATATGAACATGTACAATTTATAAGATTTCAGGCAATTAAGTATCTAACCAACTTAGATAAAAATGCGTTATCTATTGTTTTCTTTATTCTCTAGAATATCGACTGCCATCAGACACCCAAGAACGCCTCACTCACAAAGCATCCACTGCTTGCATGACCTCATGAAACAATATTTTGTCAGCATTTCCTTCTCCATTACAATGAACTACATACTATTTTATTTTATGTCACATTTTACATTCATTTGGCTCTTGCCCCCCCCCACCCCCATGGGATGGCTCTGTAGATTCCAAGTCCAAAGCTAGATCTGTCTCTGGGGTGAATGTGATCTCCATGAGGTCAGGGCAGAAGAAATACCCCTGTGTAAGGCAATAGCTATGGCTCCAGAAACCCTACCTGGCACCAGGCTCACACAGAAAAATTGTCCTCTTCAGGGCCGGACGTAAAATTCTCTTAATGTCATTTAAGTTCTGGTTTCAAAAGTCCAGGTCCTCAAGTGTTATGATTTTGTTATTTTCCTGAATGTCTGTGCTATCACAGAAACAAAGATGATTCATTGCTGCTGAAGAATCCAGCCAGGTATCACCAGGGTCATGTAAGCATTTCTAAAAGGAGGACCTGGACTGTTTGTAGGCCTTCGGGGTTTCGCCTCCCTGCCCCTCCACTCCTTTCTTCTCTACTTCCTATTTCTACACACTCTTTTTGGGGGAATTGCAAAAAATCTCATAGTTTCAAGTACAACTTACATGCTAATATTCATCAAATGAATGTATAATTTATTTTCAGATGTTGTGTTATAGCTTTTTATGTATGTTCTATCCTAACTTCCCCATCTGTAACACCCAAATAAGCACTTAAAACAGTTTATACTGTACACATATATTGTCCAGTAATTTAAATATGTGTTTACCAAATGATTAAAAATAAAATATTTCTTCATTTTGATAGATCCAAGTAAGGTCAAGGACTTACGTGTTTTATGGAAGACAGATAATAGTATGACTGTGAACTGTAAACCTCCTGATGACTTTAATGGCCCCGAGACAGGGAAGTACCATTTGATAGTCAGTATTGGAAATAACTCGGCTGGAAAAGAATTAAAAAAAGAAAAGTGCACATTCTTGGTAGAAGGTCTTCAATATTCAACAGAATATACATTAAAGGTAAGATTACAGTTTCCATAATCACACATTACTGATATACATTATAGTGATTATTCTGCAGTATTTAAATAATACTAACACCAGTGCTCACGAAGCTCTGATGTCTAACGGAATCACACTTTAAAAGTGAAAAGTTTGACTCCAAACTTTTCATCTCTAGTACATAATACAGTTGTTTACAACACATATTTTGTTGGATTATTTTTGACCTTTAACGTGATTTACTTATAGCTAAATTATTGCTCCCGTGTCAAGAAGCACAACATTTCATGCACAGTAGATTATTCCTTTGCCACAACTTTTATTCATCTAGGCTATTTATCTTTATTACTGTGACTTTTAAAAATTTTTAATATTTTATTTTTTATTTATTTTATTTTTGGCTGCATTGGGTCTTCGTTGCTGTGCGCGGGCTTTCTCTCGTTGCGGCGAGCAGCGACTACTCTTCGCTGCGGTGCGCGGGCTTCTCATTACGGTGGCTTCTCTTGTTGTGGAGCATGGGCTCTGGGCACGTGGGCTTCAGTAGTTGTGGCACAAGGGCTCAGTTGTTGTGGCGCAAGGGCCTAGCTACTCCGTGGCATGTGGGATCTTCCCGGACCAGGGCTCGAACCCGTGTCCCTGGAAGGTGGACTCTTACTCACTGCGCCACCAGGGAAGCCCACTAATGTGACTTTTTAAATTACAAACATTTTTTACAGGTACATTGAGATTAGAAAATAGCAGAAATAAATGTAAGGAAATAGCAGTGTACACAGAGTTAAAAAGCTCACCTATAAGCTCGCTGTCTACTGATCATATTCTGTGTGTATACTTCTAAAATGGGAAAACTCAGTCTTTTCCTCCTGCTGTAGG